ATCTCGAAGTGGGAATGAGCATTCAACCAAGTTTCCGTGACGCAAATGATGTCCGGGTTATGGATCCACAACAAGATCTCGAATTCCGCTCTTTTGGGAATGATACTACGAGCATTCCATAAAACTAAAGAAAAAGATTTGTGTAGGGATGTAGTATTTTGGGACGTCATGTTGTATAAAAAAAAGAAAAACAGGGATTAAAGGAAAAAGAAAAGCGAGAGTATATTAGTTAAGTACAATTAGATAAAAAAATTTAAACTACTAATAGGCTTTATAAAAGAGACTATTAGATGTTGGTCAGGTATTCAAAGAAGTAAATTAATATAAAAGACTAAGTAATAAAGTAGATTAATGAATAATAGAATGATTCAGAGAACAAATAATAAATGAGTACATAGGACGGCACACAACAATTGAAGAGACAGCTTCAAACAGAATCCTCCTCCATTTTCTCGGTGCTGAGATCGATAGGTGACCCAGTGTCGATAGGATGGTTATCATTAGCGTTAGAAGATGTGTTAGAGAGTTCAGACTGAGTTGAAGGAAAGTTGTTAGCATGGGATGGGGAAGAACCCGCAACTTCAGTGGGGAAATCTGAAGCCATATCTATACGGTTCACCTCGCTGTTCCAGATGATTTCGTATCCAGGTCTGGGGATACCTTCGTTCAGTAAGAGATTCTCCGCTTCTTCATAGCCGATGTTTCGTTCGAGTCTGCGCCTCATCACCAAGAATTCAAATTTATAGAAAGGACATACATGGGCAGAAGCGGTGTGCTTGCCCGAACAGTTGGAACAATGTGAAGTATGGTTGCGATTGGGACAGTCTTTCTGCTCATGGGGGTCTCCGCAAAATTCGAACGTAAAATGAGTCGATCTGCATTGGTCTTTCATATGCCTGAAGCGTTGGCACTTATGGCAGCGCTTGGGAGGGGGAACACATAAAGTGAGTTTGAATATAGCCCTAGAGATGAGGATCGAGTCAGGAATAGAGACGCCGGAGAAGACAAACTCGACCAGTCCAGAAATTTCCTTCGGATTCAGAGTCCTTCTGCGAATCGAGACTATCCCCTCAAGCGTCTCAGGCAGGAGTTTGGTGCTGATGGATTGCGGAGAAAGATCTAAATCGACGTCATGAGCCAGAGCCTTACGACTGACTAAGGACGCAGGGATAAATAATTTATATCCTTTAGTACGGAGAATGGTGGAATCAAGAAGATCGTTGGCTAGATCCCAGGATGACGAGGAAACGCGAAGCTGGTTAAGTCCATTGGAGACAATGGTGCGCTCAGGATCGCTCACCAAGGTTTCCAGGTAATCAGCGAAAGCAACGCGATTGTATTTACCAATCTTCTTATGTTCGAAAGTAGATTCTATGAGGATGGTAAAAGGGGGAGGAGAAGAGATTAAAAATCTTGGATCATCATGATAGTTTTCGTTATACCAAAAAGGGTCGTATGTAATTGGGGCTTAGGTTATTGTAGTGAAATTGTCAGTAGAGTTGTCAGTAGAGTTGTCTGTAGTGTTATCTGTAGCGTTGACTTTAGTATTGTCCGTAGGGTGTTGATCTGTTAAGTCTAGTAAAGTGGTTGGAGGTAGCGTCAGATCGGTACCGGGAAGTTGACTTGTTGCAGCAGTTATTTCTTGTAAGTTATTAGAATTTATTAAGGATGTTGAGGATGAGGGTAAAGAAGTGGGGAGATTCTGAAATTCATTCTCAACCAGGGTGACAATTTTATTTTTAATTAAATTCGAAAATCCAGGCTTTTTATTTGAAGTTTTGGAATTTTAAATAAGAACGCAGCTCTGCTCTTGCGCCGGCGCGTCGTATTTGATTCGATTTTCTTCACAATATATCGACTATCATCAGCGTGTCATATTTCAGGATTCGGTTTTCTTCGTAATACATCGACTACCATCGGCGCGCCGTATTTGAAAATATAGGAGCTCTTACGAATAACTATAGTAATCGTAACAAAGTGAACAGGAATGAGTATTAAGGAAAACTTGAATTTCCATGTATCAAAGGTAGCTTGGTTTTACTGCAGACTATTGTAATTATAACAAGACTCTGTGTAAATGCTTACAGTTTTCTTTCTTAACCTGTACTTTTAAATCATTATTGGTTCCAAAAAATAAATTTCAACACGATTAATACAGTGTTTGGATTCATTAAAGTAACTATAGTAATCGCTCCTACTAAATTCTTAATAAATTACATAGTTTTCGTAATCATTACAAAAAGTGGTCACATATCCGAGCTGTAATATAGACTATTGTAATCATTACGAAAGAATTTTTCCCGTGTTGAAAAGGTTGATTATAGAAAAATGCTTTCAATGCAAGTTGACAAGAAAATAGCCGACGAATCCTTGTGATTTACTATATCACTAAATTCTTCCGTATTGTTTAAATCATTGTAGTATTTTCTAGGATTATTTCCATATTTGTATAAGATGGATTTTCTCCCTTTATCTTGTGTATGCCAACGAAATGATTTTGTTTTAATTTTAATATGTTTATCTTGGGAGTTAATATTAAAGTTGCAGTCAACATTTCTCTCGACTCCTCCGAATGCCAAGTTGAGACCTGGATCAAGCCCTTTAAGTATCTCAAAATCCTTTAAATTGAAAGGTTTTTTTCCTTTTTAGTATTTGAGAAATCAATAACTTGTTTAGGATTCACGACATTATAAATTACCGATACAGCAACACCATCAGTCATTATAGTTCCAGAAAATTTAAGTTTATTCGAATTTGTTCGAAATTTAGAAATTCGGAAAAATTTTTCCCAACGTTCTTCATTTTTTAAGTATTTTTCTTAATTTATTTCCTTCACAATGGTGTCGTGTTGCACTCTCAAATCATTCATCTCTTTATCCTTGGCCATTAATTCCTTATTAATTTGTTCCAAGTCGTTTTCCATTTTTATTAATTGTTTTTTATCGCAACTTTTGTTTCTTTTAAAAGTTTTTATTTCTCGATCTAATTGCTTCTTTTTTTCTGCAAGGAGATTTCTCGATTCCTTTAAAGGCGTCATTTTTATTTTGTAATCCTCTTCCTCGGCAGCAGTTTTAATTTTTGACTACTTCTTAGCCTCTATCTCAGAAACTGTTAATACTTTCCGCTTTGGTGTTTCTTGTGTTTTTAGGATTTATTTCTTCTTCAGAATTGTTTTTAATTCATTAAAAAAAACGCCAGGTTTCATTATTGGCACCAGAATAAAATTCGATACAGTTTTTGCGACAAAGTAAGATTGTAATCCAATACAGAATTTGAAAAACAAGTGACATTTCTTATGGATTATAATCATCATCTTCTTCTTCTATCACATATTTTTCTTCCTTTTCTTTTTCCTCCTTTTTGTTTCCATTCATGAGATGCAATTTTTTCCAATTCTATTTCTCCCTTCGAATTTTGATTCTTCTTCTTTACCCGATTTCTCCTTCTTGATGGATCTCGAGCATCGTAAACAAATTTTCGTTGTCTTCTTATATCAATCTTCCTTTCACGACATTCCTGTTTTAAAATCTCTCTATCTCGCTCCCTTTTGCATGGTTTTGATAAAGGCAGTAAAGCTTCTTTCAAACGTCTCATTTCTTTTTTGAATAATTTTTTTCTTCTTTTTTTCCCATCTGTTTCTTTTGTTTCTTTTTATTCCTCCTTTTTATTTTTTCATGTTTCTGTTGTTGTTGCTCAATTTTCTTTTTTAACGATAAACTTGTTAATTTCCTTCTTTTCCATATTGACTGATTTATTCTTTATGTATTCACTTTTAAAAAAGATGCCTATACGTTTGCGTGCATGATATGAGAGATTTGTTTAAAAGTTTGGGTTGAGTTGTATAGCCATTTCTTGGATAGGTGCACTTAAATTTTTACAGTTGAAAATTTAAAATGGCCTACCCATTAATTGGGTGAATTCTGGAACATAGATATAAAACTTACTTTAGTCACAGGATGGTTGTGTTCGTAATTTACTTTTGATAAAACAAGAGCATTTCCATTCTGATTTGACACCAAATTGAAGTAAGCTTTACATTTTTCTTTTGATGTCCTGTTGTATAAAAATACAACTATTATTAAACAAAATGAATACAAAAGCGGAATCATTTTTTCTCAAGTCAACCATCATACAATGCACATGTATAACACATAAGTCTTTCTGCGGAACAATTTCGCAACGTACTGTGGTTCAAATCTAAAACCCTTATTACTCCCTACATGTGAATGTTTTTAGAACACTGTAGCAATGATTTAGTTATTTTCCTGGATAATCTGAAATTTATTTTATTCTTTGGATATTTAATTATTTTATTTTGATGCAAAATAACAACCGGATTTCTATTTTATTTTTCCGGCTGACAGTAGCCGGATCTTTAACAAAATGGTTAAAGTTCCGGCTAACAGTAAAGGTACCCTAAAAGCAACTGGATCTTTAATATTTTTTCCTAAAGTTCCGACTAGACGGGCTTATAGATACAGCATTTTAAAAATTGCAATTCTGTATTAATTAAGATAAAATTTATTGGTAAAGATTAACCCTCCTACGGTTTAATTAAATTGCAGAAATCGGTACCAAATTGGTTCAATTTCCTCTGCATAGAAAATTTTATATCTCAACATGCTTTAATAGTTTTTGGGGTCGCTGATTATGAATCCGGTGTCCATTTTTGAAAATTCAATATGGCGGACCTTTTTCAAAATTTTTTATTTTTAATCAAAATAATTTTTGTTTAATATCTGCCATATTGGATCCGCCATTTTGAATGTTGAAAATCTGATGCCAGATTCGTAATCATTGCTAACAAATATTTTTAAACGCTTATAACATTATCTTTAATTTCCACTTTAGATCATGTAATTCCGATGTTTTGTTTACGAGTTATAAAATATTTAGTTACCCCGAGTATACTCGGGGTTAACCGTTTTGGTACAGTCAATTTACCCCGAGTTAACTCGGGACAAACCGTAGGGAGGTTAACATTGCTTTCTTCATTTTAGATATGGAGATTGGCAGGTACTTTGCGAAAAAGAAACACCATGGAAGAAACTTGAAAGATTGCAGGACGAAATTAAAGAATTAACTAGTGAAATGAATGAATTAAAGGTACTTAATCTTAACAGTAATATCGTATATTTTGATCACAAGACCTATAATGACGTAGAAATTTTTCTTTTTTCAAAAAATAGTATATGTTTGATTTTACAAGCCTAATTATTTAGAAATATGTCAACATTACAGGAAAAACCTAAGGACGAAAAAGAATTGAAATGTGCTGTTGATATTATGGTTCAGCTTGAACATGTTGGAAAACAATTAGATGACCTGAAACTGCATGAATCACTTGGCAACGAATTGGACTTTTTATCAAATACAGACGGCTCTTGTTTTAAGTAATTATTATAGTAATATTTATTAACAGTATGTATTTCTCTGAAGAAGTTTTATTTTTGTTACTTGTAATGTTTAATTTTAGGCAAATGGTGTCACAAATAGAATTGTTTAAACAATTAAAGGACGTTAGCAATAGTGACAAAGGCAGTGATACAACTTTGGAAAAAACAGACAAAGATAATAGCGGAATGCTCAAGTATCAAATGATGTACCTTCCTCAGAAAGCTAAATTACAAGAAGTGGCGCGAATTGGACAACTCGAACAAAGACTTGGTTGTTTAGAAAATATCCTCGGAACTAAAAACAAGAACATGTCTACATTTCCACAAGTAAGAATAAAATTTTAATTAAGCTCTAATCAGGCATACACAGTTATTGTACATTAGGGTTTGAATCGTGAAATTTTAAATCGCATATTTAATTTGGAAATCTGGAACTAATTATAATTTAGAATTTCGTAGGTCGCTAAATACGAATAACGTTTTAATCGTGTGTCAATAAAAACCTACTATTTTTACCATTTGCTACTATTTGGATACTTTTTCTTATTTGTTACGCTAAAAGCAACTTTTTTTCATGTTTGAGAATTTATACTTATTTCAATTTGTTCACAGTGAAAATAAAAAAATTATTTTAAAAAATTTTAATAAAGTTATTGGAAACAATTCAAAAAATTTTAATAAAATTCTTTAAAACGATTCAATTATTTTCACAAATTTTTCCTAAATTCAATGATTTTTAATATCTAGGTACTATTTTAATACAAAATTTCCCAAAAGAATTGAATATATTTTTAAAAAAATGTTTATAAAATTCTTCGCAAACATTCAATTATTTTCATAAATAAAAAAATTTTCTCAGGAATTCAATTATTTAAAATAGAATTTTCGTAATATTTTTCGAAATAAATCAATTATTTAAATAGAGTTTTATAAAATTCTTCGCAAGAATTCAATCATTCTTATAAATTTTAATAATAACGGTTGCAAAAATTCAATTATTTTTATAAATGTTAAAACTCATCGCAGGATTTCAATTATTTTTAATACAATGTGAAATGAATTCCGCGTAAAATGCTACTATTTTAAAAAATTTTAATTAAAATTTATTAAAAGAATTAAATTATTTAACAAAATTTTAATGAAATTCTTTAGAATAATTCAATTGTTTTCAATATAATTTAAATTTTTTTTTAAAGAATTCAATTATTTTCATAAATAATATACAATTTTCAAAGAAATTTAATTATTTAAAACACAATTTTCATAAAGTTTTTTGAAAAAAACCATTTTTTAAATTCTCCTCGAGAATGCAATTATTTTAAATAAACTTTATTAAAGTTCGGTGACAAAAATTCAATTATTTTCATAAATAATAAAACTCATCGCAGGATTTCAATTATTTTTAATATAATTTTTAATTAATTCCGCTAAAAACGCAATTATTCTTAAAAATTTGAATAAAATTCTTCAAAAAAATTTACAAAGAATTTTACTAAAATTTTTGAAAATAATTGAATTGTGGGGATGAATTTTATTACAATTTTTAAAAATAATTGAACTTGTTAGAGAAATTTTATTAAAATTGAATTTAAAGTAATTAAATTGTTTCGAAGAATTTTTTATCAGAATTGTTGAAAATAATTGAATTTTTATTAAAACTCTTAAAAATAATTGAATTTTAATAATATTTTTAAAATAATTGTATTTTTTCAAGAAATTTTATTGTTTATGAAAATAATTAAATTCTTGCGGAGGATTTTACAATTCATAGAAAGAATTAAATTGTTTGGATGAATTTTATCTAAATTTTTTACAATAATTGAATTTTTTGATGGAATATTATTAAAAATTTTGAAAATAATGATTTTTTAAAAAGAATTTCATCAAAATTGTTGAAAATAATTCAATTTATATTAAAATTCTTGTAAATAATCGAATTTAAATAATACTTTTAAAAATAATTGTAAGGGAAGTGTTCCGGTTGTGGGCACCCTTTTGATTTTGCCTCATAACATTTGTCCATGTGCATATTATACAAATATATGTGTACGAATTTAAAGCTAGAGGTCTAAGGTGACTGTCAGTGAAGGAATTAAATTGACTCCTTTAAATAAAAAAGTTTTATTAGAAATTTAGTGAAATGGGAATTTTTTGACAAAAAAAATTTTGTACCCGGTTGTGGGCACCCTTGAAAAATCCGCTAAAAATGGAAAAATATTAAAGGAAACCAACACAAATAAAGAAGAAATGAAAGTTTCTTTATTTTAAGAGAATTTGCCGGGATAAAGAACAAAAATGATGACACGTTTTCACACTATGCTCATCGCTAACAAAAGCATAATGCTTGCATGTGAAGTAGCTAGTACGCATACCATAACGCACTTCTAATGCACTGAACGGCTATATTCATCGCATTTAATGGAGTTTGCGGCTGTCACTTTCCTTGGCAGAAAGTTTAGATAGATGAGACAGTAGTCCTCATCATTGTCAGATGGTAGAGCCTCCTTAACATAAAGGTGCCCACAACCGGGAATGACAGTCATTTTTTAAAAAGACCAACACATTTTGTGATGCAGGATTTTGGTTAAACACGAAGGTAAATCACAAAATATAATGACAACACTGCAAAAAAAAAATTAAACCCTTCTTTTCTGAACGAATCTACACCCATATGTTGCTCTTCGAAAACAATACAAAATTACTTTTTTATTTATTTAATGCAAATTTTCTTTATTATGCTCACAGCTATTACACAAATGCATATATTTGTTTCGTTATCAATACGAAAAGTCCGTATTGTCAACGAACACGACTTGCAATACTTAGATCAGTAAAGTCTGCTTGCCGTCGAAGTTTACGTAGGGGTGCCCACAACCGGAGGGTGCCCACAACTGGCGCACTTCCCCTATTCTTTCGAGAAATTTTATTAAAACTGTATTGAAATTGATTGAATTGTTCTAAAGAATTTTATTATTTATGAGATCAGAATAACGAAATTCTTACGACAAATTTCATTAAAATTCTTAAATAATAATAAACAAAAATATTTAATATTATATACATACGTAATAATAAACTCTTTAAATTTTAAATCTGTAATCATTCAAAAATTGATGGTTATTCTGGAAAATATAAAATTTACTCATTTACAAAATAATAATAAATGGAACACTGCTTTCCGCGCGCTGGCGCGCGTATCATTTGTCAGTTTTATTTATAAATTTCAACAAAAAAATAAGTAGTTATTTAAATATTTATTTGAAAAAATTATTCTATTTTTGGATTTAATTAAGAAATTATAAAAAAATTGAGTCGTCAAGTTTAATTTTTCGATAGCTACTTCTTTATTACTTTTTTCTGTCTTTAAGCTACTTTTTGCTGCTTTTTTAAAATTAATTATCGAGTACGAAGCCTGCAATCAGCGTTTTTATTATTAGCTATCTGTTTGTAATTTACTCTTTAATCGAAATATTTTTTTCTAGTTACTCAAATGCCAAGGAATACTTGAATCGATTCAGCAATTGGGAGCAAAATCTGCCCTTTTGGACAGTTCCCAACTAGATGTAGTGGAAAGTAGAGTTTCTGCTTTAATATCTAAAATGGATACTATAGCACAGAAGAAGTTAGTTGCAGGACAAGATTCGAACAGAGAACAAAAGGTAAAGTTATTTTTTGTATGTTATTTTTTTATTATCATAAAAGTACCTATTTTTAGTTTTTTATTGACAAAAGATTCGTTCCCCCAATATATTGCATAATATAAAGGATTAAATATTAATAGTTTGCTTTTACTGAGAATTAATGATTTTCATTTACTTTCACTTCAAACTTTAGTTCTGTCAAGAACAGCTAAGGTCCTTTCCAGCGTGGAGCGTCAGATATAAAAGATACAAATTAAAGTGTATTATATGTTTTAATGATATTTTAATGACATTATATAATATAAAATCAAGAGTTCTCGGGGTTTCCGGACGCTTCTCCATCTCATTAATAAATTACAGTAATGAAATTATTAGGCTTATATAAAAAATTGATTTGTTTCAGGTGTCCGAAATGTATGATATTTTAAAGAAGACAGAAGTTATATCACCGATTTTGCCTCAAACACTAAACCGCATGATAACGTTGAATGCAATTCACCAACAAGGTATTTTTATGATAATATATTTTAAATATTTTGGTATAGTAAAATTCCTTTTATTCTATTTTAATTTTAAGTGAAAATGTTATCCGATTCTTTTGTTAAACTATACGGGATAGTATCAACATTCGCGTTAATCGGTGGTTCCTCTTCATTTTCTATCACTACATTTAAATAATCTGGAATTGTTTCAACCAAAGTTACAGTTGATCCAGATATTGGGAACTTGTCGAATTTAACTCTTTGCATTTTAACATTTAAAACTCGACTCAATACATCAGACACATTCATGATTAATCTCGAATTATAAGCGGTGTCTGGGATGTCTTCGCTTATATCATCTTCACGAACTCCATTTTCTTGTAGAAAAGCTTTGCTTCCTACTGTTCTAACCGACAATGGAAAATATCCAAGTAGGTTTCGATTGGGAGTCGCTCTTTCTGGCACGATGTCCAAATCTATCGCAGTGTTCGGTGCAGTTTCACCAACCGCCGCTCTGACTAAAGCCGCTGCAACTCCAGGAGTTGGAACTTCTTCATACAGATTGTGCGTGTTGACACTGATCATCCCGAATGTTCCTGACATATTACCAACTGTAGTGGTACGTAGGTCTGGAACTGCTGTGTTTAGATGTTGGCCTGTGCTTGCTCGAATCTTTCCAAATGATCGTAAATATAGAAAGATCGGCTGTGGTACATAATAGGTGTTCTCTTTAAATGTACTCTTTACTCTCTTCTCATTATTGGTAAGGGGAGATCCATTCTTTTCTTTCAGCTCTAAATAGCGATGAGCGAACATTCCATTACAATAATAGGAAAAGGTTTCCTTACATAGTGTATCCTCTACACCTTTCTCCTTGCTAAGGTCGGTCCAGGTGTCTTCAACTAATGCTGAATAGGAACCACAATTAACATAAACCTCCTGTGCAAAGATAGATTCCTTGATGATTGGTTCGTTCCTAAGCGGCGAAAAGTTAGTGTTGAGGTGCAACATTGTAGGTACATATTTTTGCCTCGGTACTTCCAGTTTTTGAGCTTCAGCCTTAGCTTTCAGCTTCTCGGATTTGTTCTTCCTGAACTTGGGATCGTAGTTTTTCCCTTTGTACTTATGGCCCTCTGGCGCTAGGCGAATCTCTCGCGTAGGCTTTGTTTCATCTCCTGTCTCCATTTTGATGAATTTGTTTGCGAATTTAATCGCTCGGACAACCGTCCACGTATTTTAAATCAAGGTCGACCTCATAAAAGTATAACATCTATTTTTAAAAAATTCTATACTCTGAAAACTGAATGCGACGACAGTGATACCATAAATTTTATTTTCTTTTCTTTCTACAAATTGTCAATTTTATATTATCATTTACTAAAAAGAAAACAATAAAATAAATTATTTTATAATGAAACTTGAACCGCCATTAAAAAATTTTTTAAACAAACCGAGGATTCAAATTCGACGTTAAAATATAGATTACACAGAAAGAAAACATATAAAGAAAATTTTAATACCCGTATTAAAAAGTTAGACGAAAGTGACTTTTTCAAAAAATTCTAATACAGTTTGAAAATCTGAGAATCTAATGCAAGTTTTAATATTGTTCAGAACCTTTTTAAGACATTATAGTATTTTTTTTAATATAGGTATATAAATTTAAAACAAAAAGAAATAATTGTCTTATAAATTATATAGATTTTCTTAAGGGGGAAAACCACATTAGATGTCTGAAAAAATCGATTTTTTCTTTTTTGCATAAATTGTTATTTAAGGTATTCAAAAATAGACTGAAAAAGTTTTTAGAGCAAAATTCGACGTCCTCGCTGTACTGGTAATGAACGGCGCGCGCTTCAGGTTACCGTATAGATCAGTAGAATAGGCGTAGCACTTTTGAGACTAAGGAGAGCAGAAAGGCACAAAAAGAAGAATTATTAGACTTGCATGCTACTTATGAATCAGATGAAGGGATATGTATAGTGCTGGAATAGCCGATTGAAGTGTAATCACTTTTCAAAAATTTTTTTTGTATAAATATCAATTTTTCGATACTTTTTTCAAATGCGTTTTTCTCAAAACAGGATTTTTGAAATTGCCGTGCAGTGTAGCTCAAAAAGTTATTGACCGATTTTAAAATGAAAAATTGGAAATTGTTGGTTATTAAATTTATTATTAAGTGAACTAAACTTGAAAAGAAAAAAATATTTTAGTACCTTTTTTAAAATAAAAAAGTTGCAAAAAAGTAGGCAAAAAATCGAATATTTTTTTCAAAGTAGTGTCAATTTTTCAATTTTTAATATTTTCACTTAAAAGTTAGTTCACTTAATAATAAAATATTTATAAAATGTGAATAAACTTGATTTTTTGCTTTCGGACAAAATTTGTGGGATCAGGACTGCACGGCAGTCATGAACTCCGGCGGAGCAGCTTTATATGCAATAGCTCCCAATTTGAAAGATTTTTGATATAAACGCTTAAAAAAATATGAGTTACAGTTAAATATATGAACAACATGGTGGAAATGTTTTATTTCATTCAAAAAAATTCTTACCTTAAGGTATTTGTCGCGCGACTGGTAACTCTCAATAGTTTGTATCCGATGACTGTACTTATGAAACGATTATGAATGCGAGTTTCTGAAAAACTTTTGCGGACGTACAGTTTCACATACAGATGTTCTCAATGTGTATTCATAACCTCTCGTATGAAAAACTATCGTGGCAATGTCTCAAGTTTGGCATACGGCCGTATAGCAGACGAGCTGTAGAATTTAACAAGCGCTGTTGACACGTTTACGAATTCGCCTCTCATTTACAGCAAATGTTTCAATAATTTTTTAAGTTTGACATTAAATATCTTTTATTCATTTTGGTTCATTTTGGTTCAATAAATAAAACTTTAGTTTTTTTAAAAAATCTGACGATTAGTGTAGGTGCAAAAATGAAAAGTCTGTAATTAATACAGGGTTTTCCTATACCGTACATGTTAAAGATTGAAACTTTGATTTCATTTTTTGAGACTTACAGACGGTCAATTTTATTTTAATAGACCTTATTTTGTAGATAAATATCCAAAGAATAATTATAAGAAATTTAAAAAAATAGGACGAAAACGAATCGACGCGACAAAAACCTTAAACAAAATTCTGGAAAAACGGCTAAAAACAGTTTGGTTGGTCAGTTTTTTAAAAATCGTAATTTTTGTATTATTTTAAGAGGTTAATCAACATATTTTTGAGAAAATATGTTGAAATAAGTGCTATATCGATTCCAGTTATTTAGAAAAGCATCAGAGAACAGCACAGAGACTTTAAAATAATTTTAATTTTTATGAAATAAATTTATTTTGTATCCAAGTCAAATACTTTATAGGACATACATTAAAGTAGGCTTAATTCTGAGTAAATCTATAGAAAGATCAGCTTTCTATCTTCAATATGATCAAAGTTGTGATATTTAAAAAATGACCTTTTTGGACTTTTTTGTAAAATGCAACTTTTTTTAAATTTCTCATTTCTGGAGGTTGAGACAAATTTATAGAATAAGAGAAAAAGTGAAGTTATCTTCCTAACAAGTTATACTTTGTTATTTATGTATAAATTGAAGGGTTACGATTTTATAGATTTGTCATAGAAATACAAAATTTTGAAAGATCATGCAAAAACTCATGACCAGAATCGACATGACATTTGTTTATTGTGTTTTGGAAAGACAAAAACTTTTACGCGGTCCATCACTTAAATTTTCATTTATATTTATTCTAGATTTAGCACTCTCCCACAGTTCTCCGACACTGTCCACACTTTTATTCACTTTATCAGTCACGTCACACATTACATTCACACTCTCTGACACTTTAATGACACATTCATTCATTCTATCTCTTTCAGCCAATCTTCTCCGCAGTGCAGCATTCTCCAGAGCGAGCTTACGAACTAAATCATTCAACTTTCCAATGCCACTTAACACATCATCAGCTATCATCAAATCACGCACGTCATTCATAATCATACTAGCACTCATAAATGCACACAGCACATCTACACTTACCTCCACTTCCATATCGTCTTCTGGTCCGCTCGATTTATGACGCTGCTTCTCTTCCTCCTCCTTTAACACTCTCTTCCCTTCTCGATCCCTCTCCAACTCGGTCTTCTTCTTATCCTTCAGAAGCTTCTTCATTTCTTTCTCCGTCAAAGCGCCACTCTTACTAGGGGGTTTCTTTTCATCGCTCTTCTTCATCTTTGACATGTCACGGCTGCGCAATGGCGACCGCGAGGTGTCACGTCGACGATGTCTTCCAGCGCTACTACCCTCACTCCTCACTCGTAGTCTCCCTATTTCCCTCCTCAGCATCCGACGTTCTTTCTTTCTTTCCGAGGCTTTTTTGTGTCATTTTTCATCTGGTTCTTACCCCTCACCCATTAGGCAGCGTTTTACCGCTGGTAGAATAGCGAACAAGCGTAGGAAGAAGGAACAGGAAAGGACATTAGAAAATAGAACAGAATTTAGAATTCTGTTCCTCATGGTCCATGCGACCTTAAATTAATTTTTCAAACATCTTGAAGACTACTGAGGTAAGAGCGATGGGGCAGAACCCCTACCACCTGGTTTCGGAAGAGCTATAACCCTAGTGCACAGCCAGGATATACGAAATACGAAAGGATGAATACAAAAACATTCAATTAAAAAAATCATTGAAAATTCCTGTGCTATTGGACCAAGAAGCTTGATCATATCTGCTGTTATTTTATTTAGACCAGCGGCGGATTTTGATTTAGTTATGGAGAGGGCGAATTGAAACTCATTTTTAGTGATAGGTAGAAATTCTTCTCCAAGGATACTTGGAGTAGGCAAAAATGGAATGTCCGCTGGGGGTCCCTGATCAAGTCGTTGCGGAATTTAGTGTGTTCGTGGGTACACGGGTCGGAATGAAGCTGGTCAGACCGAGAGGATAGAGCCTTTACAGTTCTTTATAAAGTAGACATTCCTCTGGATGGGAAGATATTTTCACAGAAGTCTTTTAACGCGATGGCCTTTTGTTCTCTAATGGGTTGTTTTATCTCATCGCATTTGGTATTCCATCATATGGGCTTAGAGATTGATTTTATAGAGTTGGTTTTAGGGATATATGCTCAGCTTTCGAGGAGACTCTGTTTTAAGTAGATATTCGATGAAGGTGTTGTGAATATCTGCGGGGGATATCCCCATGGAAAGTTGAGTTGTTAGATCGAGGGAGAATTGTTCCATGGATGCGCGATTATCTACTCAATTAATGCTATTTAGGAAAAATCTATTGCTATGGGTAACGATATCATTAGGTGCAATGTTGGCTTTTAAGAGAACTGGTAGGTGATCGGAATTAAAATTATACTGCATAACATTAATGGAAGAGGGTTGGAGAATAGTAGATGAGCAAAAAAGCAGGTCCAAATTGCTGCCTATCTTTTTATCTTGAATTATGAATTTGACAAGTACTGTGTAAGGGGGGTGAGTTTTCGAAAAATCTAGCGTCAGAAATCATTTAAGCGGATGGGAAGAAGAACTCGATGTGACGCTCCGCTGCACGCTGTATTGTCAGTCAAGAGTTCCAAATGCCGATAAAATTAAAGTTTGAAATTTTGAATTTTAAAAAGTGCTACAATATAGAAAATAAAGAGGCGCATCTTTTTTTGCTTTGAATTTTTTTTATAGGACAATTAGTTTAAATAGTAAGTGCAAAAAACTAAAAAAAATTTATTTTTATTTTTCATTCAATTTTAAAACATAAATCATCGTAGTTAAGACAAATATTGATAAAATTAATCGGTATTTGATATACAAACTCGTTAGGGTCTATAGAAGACGATAACATATCAAAAAACTTAAAAATTATTAATTGTTTAATAATATTTAATTATTATTAATGATCTACCAGCAATCACATTTTCTTACCTTCACCGACAAAAAGTCAGTGGGGAAGTTTCGAATTAAAAGAACTTCCAGTGAGACATTTGTTCTTCAATGTATAAAGATGTTTTCTGAAAAATTTCAAATTGATTTATTGAAAAGTTTAGAAAATATCGAAGTTTAAACAAATTGCGCGTGGCGCGCTAGCGAGTCGCCGTGTATAGAGAATTATATTCTGTGTATAAATGATCTGCTTCTCATAACTTTTACATATACATTTATTTACTATCGCAAATAAATTGTTTTCAATTATATTAAACTTTTATAATAATAAATAATAAAATTATTTAAACATTTTTTAAATGTAATATATAATATTGAAACCTTATATTAAATTATTATAATTAAACACATTTTAATATGTGAAAATAAAAATAAATAAAATATTTTTTTAATACTAATAAATGTTAATAAATAACTCAAACTAATGTTAAGGCATTTTAATAACATATTTAATAAAATACTAGATATACATTAATTAAATTTTTCCACTTTTCTTTTGACGCATCATAATATTTCCTTTTTTGTTCTAATGACATATTTTAACAATAACGTTAAAGGTAATATTTCACATTCTTAAAGCGTAAAAATTTTTAACAATAATTTGTAACGTAAAAAATTTACATTCTTAAAACAAATTATTTTTTGTTTTCCTTCATTGAAAAGTTAAATGAAGTTTATTATTGAGAAACAACTTTTTAAAAATATTTAATATTTTTAAAAAATGAAAAGTAAAAAATAAAATTTTTTACATATTTCGAATATTTTTTTTAGTAGCCAGTTTTGAAAAAAGGTCTATAAAAAATTTCTTTCCCTTGCAACTTAAATAACGCGTTAACGATAATACATCTTTTTTTTACTTTCAGTGATTCCTACAGCAGGTGCCAACTTCGAATTACTTAACAAATCATCAAATGTTATTGAATGATTGATAGTGTAATTTTCAAATATCTATAATAATAATGTGGACAAGAAAATATTTTCAAACTTTCCATTTTCAATATTTAAATTTCTTATTTACAAATTATTATTGATAGTTAGTAATTATTTCTTTATTGTTTTGATTTTGATCTTTTGCGAACGTCTTAATTATTATTGTAATTCACTTGTCACTGTATTACAAAAGAAGGTTTCTAGAAGAAAGTTTCTTTAAGTTAACACAAGTTTTGCTAAAATGGATAATTTTATTTTTCGTAAAAAAAGTGAGATTGTGACGAAAGGTCGAAAACGAAAAAGAGACGAAAGTTCTTGGCTGAAAAATGTGAATAGAATGAAAAGAAATGAGGTACGATATATTATTTATCTGTTGGTCTTTTTTGCGTAATTTAAATACAGTGTTTAATTTTTGAGGTTTCATTGTCAAGAGATAAAATTAAATTAATTTAATTAATTATGAAAAAGTACATGAAAATGTTTAATATTGTAGGGACTAGAATATGTTTCTTCGTCAGGGAAGCTAGTTCCAGAAAAACAATTGGAATATGTAGAATCATGTTGTACAAAAAAGTGTCATTCTTATATTCAAGAGTCAGAGCAAGTAGAATCGTTTTCACAATTTTACAAATGTGGAAACTATAATTCACAAAATTTGATTCTTAGTGGACTCATGAAAAGGTTGACTTTTTCTGCAACGAATAAAATGACTCGATGGGAATATTCTTTTCATTCCCTATTTCAAAAAAGAATAGTATGTCAACAATTTTTGTGCAACGTATTTCAAATAAAACAAGGAAGATTCACTACTATTAAAAAAAAACTGTCAAATCACGAGAGCTGCAATGATAAACGAGGAAGGCACGGAAATAATTCAATTCGTCTGACGGAAGATGTAAAACAACTAATACAGGAACATTGCAATTCAATTCCACATTCAGAATTGCATTATAGGCGGGAGGAAACTTCTTTAAAATACTTTGAAAATTCAGAGTTAAATTTAAAAAAGTTGTATTTCTTGTTTTTAGATTATTATGCAGCAATAACGGGAAATAAAAATCCGCCTATTGATGAAAACACATACGGTCAATATTTTAATTACAATGTTAACTTTACTTTTTCGAAACCACGAACGGACGTTTGTAATACATGTTTCGAATTCGAGCAAGGTAGATTGCAGATGAGTGATGAAATTACAGATCATAAAAAAAGAGTTAATGACTACAAAGAATGAAAAGAAAATATTTTAAAAAAGAAAAATGAAAAAAAGCGCAGTTACATGTACTTCTTTGTAGAAGGAAGTATGAAAAAAGGTTGCAACACTGTTTGCAACTTAATTTGGGACACGATTAAAAAAGAATTCGCTATTGATTATTATGACAAAATTTTTTTATTTTCTGACAATTGTCCAGGACAAAACAAGAGTTATTTAGTTTTATCTTTTTTTTCATTACTCTCTGCAAAATTACAAATCGAAGTCGAACATGTTTATCCCGTTCGTGGACATTCGTATTGTTCGTGTGATCGGAATTTTGGGATGTACGGACAAAAGAAAAAAAACTGAAGTAATTGAGACTGTTGAAGATTATATAAATCTTATAAGTACTGCGCGAAATCCTCCATTTATAACTGTACGCGAATCAGATTTCGAAGTAAAAAATTTAGAACCACTGTTAGAAAATGAAGCCCAAGCTTTAGCGCAAATTAAAATTAGCAAATTGGTTCGAATTGTTTATTTCCCAAACAGTCAAGTAAATGTATATAATGATTATAAAACGGAAGCCAGAAATTACACTATCAATCATTCAATAACATTTGATGATTTGTTAAGTAATTCGAAGTTGGCACCTGCTGTAGGAATCACTGAAAGTAAAAAAAAGATGTATTATCGTTAACGCGTTATTTAAGTTGCAAGGGAAAGAAATTTTTTATAGACCTTTTTTCAAAACTGGCTACTAAAAAAAATATTCGAAATATGTAAAAAATTTTATTTTTTACTTTTCATTTTTTAAAAATATTAAATATTTTTAAAAAGTTGTTTCTTAATAATAAACTTCATTTAACTTTTCAATGAAGGAAAACAAAAAATAATTTGTTTTAAGAATGTAAATTTTTTACGTTACAAATTATTGTTAAAAATTTTTACGCTTTAAGAATGTGAAATATTACCTTTAACGTTATTGTTAAAATATGTCATTAGAACAAAAAAGGAAATATTATGATGCGTCAAAAGAAAAGTGGAAAAATTTAATTAATGTATATCTAGTATTTTATTAAATATGTTATTAAAATACCTTAACATTAGTTTGAGTTATTTATTAACATTTATTAGTATTAAAAAAATATTTTATTTATTTTTATTTTCACATATTAAAATGTGTTTAATTATAATAATTTAATATAAGGTTTCAATATTATATATTACATTTAAAAAATGTTTAAATAATTTTATTATTTATTATTATAAAAGTTTAATATAATTGAAAACAATTTATTTGCGATAGTAAATAAATGTATATGTAAAAGTTATGAGAAGCAGATCATTTATACACAGAATATAATTCTCTATACACGGCGACTCGCTAGCGCGCCACGCGCAATTTGTTTAAACTTCGATATTTTCTAAACTTTTCAATAAATCAATTTGAAATTTTTCAGAAAACATCTTTATACATTGAAGAACAAATGTCTCACTGGAAGTTCTTTTAATTCGAAACTTCCCCACTGACTTTTTGTCGGTGAAGGTAAGAAAATGTGATTGCTGGTAGATCATTAATAATAATTAAATATTATTAAACAATTAATAATTTTTAAGTTTTTTGATATGTTATCGTCTTCTATAGACCCTAACGAGTTTGTATATCAAATACCGATTAATTTTATCAATATTTGTCTTAACTACGATGATTTATGTTTTAAAATTGAATGAAAAATAAAAATAAATTTTTTTTAGTTTTTTGCACTTACTATTTAAACTAATTGTCCTATAAAAAAAATTCAAAGCAAAAAAAGATGCGCCTCTTTATTTTCTATATTGTAGCACTTTTTAAAATTCAAAATTTCAAACTTTAATTTTATCGGCATTTGGAACTCTTGACTGACAATACAGCGTGCAGCGGAGCGTCACATCGAGTTCTTCTTCCCATCCGCTCATTTTGATTCGAAAGGTTTTTTTCTCCTCTTTTCAATGGTGTATGAATATTTAGAAAAAAATTCAAAATTTAACCCTTTTGGAAAATCAAAAGTATTTTGGACTTTTTTAAAAGAAAGGACCCATTCTTTTTTTATAGTCTTAAAATAAAGCTTGAACTATATACTTTCAACAAGCGAAAAAAAGAAAATTACATTTTTTCCTTTCTGAGATATTTATAATTAAATAACTAAACAAGTTGTAAATCCAGATGTTCATTACATGAACATTTTGCTTCCGCTTTACGATCAGCAAAAAAATTTGCTTCCTCGTGGAGGAAGCATTAACGATAAATATATTTCATTTTTAAATCATTTTTAATACAATTTAACATTTATAAAATAAAGTTCATTCGTCTTAATAGAAAGAATAAAATTTTCTTATACAGTAATATGAATCTAAATAAACAAAAAAATTTTTAGTAAAAAAGTGAATTTTTCAACTTTAATTGTAATTAATTCTATAATTTTCAATAGAATATATACTTTATATACATCAATCGATTCGTCTTGATGCAAAGAATAAGATTTTTGATTTATTTTTCAATAAATAATAACATTTTATTGTACAGCAACATGATTTTTAAGAAAAAATGAATTTTTATTAATAGTGCAAATTTTTTGTCTATAATTGGTTTTAATTCTATAAATTTAAATACAATATATACTTTATATATACCAATCGATCCGTCTTGATGCAAAGAATAAGATTTTAGAAATAAATGAGTAAGATTTTCTTATACGGCAACATAATTTTGCGGAAAGAACTCATTTTTTGATAAAAACGCGAATTTTTTAGTTTTAATTGTGATTAACTCTGTAAATTCTCATACAATTTATACTTTTTATATACCAATCGATTCGTCTTGATGCAAAGAATAAGATTTTATTATATATTCACTGCAAAAAATGGCGTCTAAAAATAAGACGTTTATAAACGTCTCATGTAAATAAGCGTCTTATTTGAGCGTCTTAAATGAAAAACATAACCTCCAAATACATGCATTTTAGAAGGCAAATAAGACGCTTATAAACGTCTAAAATGTGACCACGTAAACGTCTTAAACCAAGACGCTCTTTTTTACAGTGATTAACTTCAATAACCAACTTAAAAAAAATTTTTAGAAAAAAGTCTAAAAAAATATTTTTTCTAAGAATTTTTCAAAGTCTATCAATCTATTTCGAGATATTTTTATGATAAATATACCTGGTAAGTTTTAGCCAAATTCTTTAAAACCTCTTCGAGTTATCGTGTTCACAAAAATCGGGATCCACACACACACATCCATACATACATCCGGACAATTGTTCAGGGTCTTATATAACATAGTCCTGTATAGAAGAAAATTTGTTGAAAGGATTTTTAAAAATTTTGTAAATTAAACGACTACAAAGCTTCTTCACGAGGAAGCAAAATTATGTAAAAATACTTTATATTAGGCTTTCGATGAGGATTTTAGTAAGCTTTAAAATTATTACTTTGAAACTACTTGTATTGTATTTGTTTATAAAATATATAATTTTTTATTAATTAAATAATTAATATCTCGAAAATAAAGAAACGTGTTTTTTATTTTTATTTTTAAAATTATACATATTAAGCTATATTTTAATCTGCAAAAAAATTTGCTTCCTCCTCGAGGAAGCTGGAATGACAAGTATATTTAATTTTTAAGTAATTTTCTATGCAATCTAACATTTGTAAAATCAAGTTCATTCGTCTGAATGAAAAGAACAAAAATTTATTATACAGTAATATGATTTATAAGTGGTATATTTTCTATTTTGAGCTATTTGCTTTCAAACTAAAATAAAATTTCTTTTATGCAATTCAGGCCTATTACGGTCACTTCACCCATCTGTACAAGTGCATCCTCATTTCTTCTGTATAACTAAACGGTCAATATAGTGCTTATTATAACACTAGATCAGTAAATGTGCACTCAATTAATGAAAAAGTACTCATTATTACCCTAGAGCAAATAATGGTCTCCTTATTCACCTGTTGAGCTATATGAAGAAACTTATCATGCACGGTACACATAGCGAATAGCATAATGTACTATTCAACATTACATTAATTTAATATTAACTAATTTTCAGCTACTGAATTTAGTAAATCCCTGGGACAACTAGAGGAGTTGCAGAGTCAGATAACTATAGGACTACAGAATAATAAGGTTTTCCTGAAAGGAGTTCAAGACAGTTTTACCAATAATTTAAATATTATCCAGAATAACATAGCATCTTTAGATCAACGTATAAATAATCTTTCAAAATAAGTTTGCGTAAGACAAATGTAAATTTTAACAAGATTGTATTTACAGCAGCTGTTTTAGGTAATCATTAAACTATTAAAACCACTAATTCGTTGCAAATGAAAAGAAAATTTACTAATTACATAGCATATTATACTAGAGTCTGAAAAGTGTTATGTGTTCGACCACTCGTTTCCATGCCAGTCGAACCCACAAAATTATAACTGCAATTCGAAATTAAAAATTAAAAACCACTATTTTATAGGAAATCGCAGAAGGATAAAATTTTCTTGATTAATTTCCTTTTAGACTTTTTGTACTATAAATATTTTCTATATTAAATGCAAAAACGTGAATTTTAATTTTCAACTTTTATTCAATTTTATACATAAATGGTCGTATCTTCTTTAAATGTTAATGAAATTAATTAAAAATTACACCTATTTTGTCCATAGAAGGTATAACCATAATAAATGTATTTAAAATAATTAATTGTTTAATAATTTTCAATTGTAAATAAAGACCTGTCGGTAACTGTGTTTTCTAAACTTTTGATGATAAAATGTTTGTAACGAATTTTATAATTGAAAGAAATTTCAGTGAGACATTTGTTTATTATAATATAAGGAAGTTTTCTACGATGTTACAGAAAGATTCTTTATTTATTTTTTGAAATATATATATTAATTTTCACAAACCGGACTGCGCGTCTCTTTTGAGTTTCAAGTGACACTCAACAGTTAGCTTGGCAGAAAAAAATGCTTTTATGTTATAGTAAAATTTTTTTAAAAATACTCATACATAATAAATTAATGCACATATTAAAAATTTAATAAAAATTATAATTACTTTATTATTAGTTATAATATATACGCTGTAAAAATATTTATTTATGCAAGTGTGATGTTTTTATGCACAACGCATATGCCTATGTATTTTACATATTATACAACAATTTTTTATAATTATATAAAATATTTAATGAATTATAAAATTACTGATAATATAGAGTAGAACGGGGTGGAATAGCCAAGGTGAAAAAAAGCCATTTCACTTTTATTTAAAAACTGTTTAACCGATTTATCAGCCATTTAGATTATAAATACTATTAGGTAATACGCAACTTTTGATTCTAGTTTGAATTTTGTACCTAAAGTAATATAGTTTTAATTGTTATTTTAATTTTTGAGTTGCTCTGCGTATAATATTTCGATAAACTTTTTGAACATATTACAACAAGTTTAAGTGAACGGGTAATAAAAGTAAATGTTTGTACATAAGGAGAAAACTATACTCAAAACGTATATAATGTTAATTTTTGTAAATTGAACTAAATTTAAAATTTATTATAGCTTTTAGAAAAACTGGTCTTGAGGGTGAAAAAGCCAGGGACAAAAATCCATTGAATATTATGTGAAATTCATTTGTTTTCTACTTAAACTAACCTTCTAATTTTACAAAATTTTCGCGTGTTTACTCAAAAAAATTAATTAAACATGACGAAAAAATAGTATAAAGTGCGCTAAAAAATAAACAATTTTCCTTGATAAAAGCTCTTTAAAGTTTATTAAAATATTTTTAAAATAAGATTATTTGTCATGTAAATAAAGGAAAACTATAAAAATACCAAAATTAATAACATATTTTTTTAAAATCGCGAGGTGGCAATTTTTTGTACCCCTTACCAGGTGGTACAAAAAAGTCACTTGCAGTGCTTTCGTAAAACTCTTATAACTTAGTCCTTTCATAAAATAAAAAATATTTCCGTCAAGAATATTCAAGCTTAATAACTAAACTTTCAATGTCAATCGTAAATTTGAGAAAATAGTTTTAAATTCAGATTTTATAGCGTCAAATGTAAAAATGTGTCTTTTTCACTCCGTTCTACTCTAATCTTTATGTTCTTTCATTCATTATGTCCGAAGTTAGTTTTTGTCTCTGCTTTTCTTTCTTTAAATATTTTTTTTTGACAGATCGAAATTTGTAGTGTTACTCTGGGTACAAGTTTCTATTCTTCTGGGTACAACTTTTTTTGCATACAACGAAACAATTCTAAACGATGGTGAATAATATATTACTTTTTGCAGAATGTATTGAAGGCTAAATAAAGATGTGCTCTCAATTATAAAGAAATTGTAGTACTTGAAAATAGCATTACTAATTATAATTTAATAATAATTTCTGGAAACTTTGTTTTACTTTTATTTTATTTAAATATTTACTAGAACCAAAAGGGCGCGCGTTGCGCGCCCACTCCTGGTACTTTAACACACAAAATAAAACCTTAATGTAACCTTAAATTAAATCTTAATTTAATAAAAACATATGTTTATATTTTAAAAATTATTTTTCTGTTAATAAGATTGTTTAAATTTTTTTTATTTTTTTAAATCTAAGTTTGACGAATTTAATTTTCTATAAAAAATTACACGTTAATGCCTATAAAAAATTCTCATCCTGGAGAAAATCACCTTTAAAATAAGCCTAAAATCATTATAAAGCATACAGTATTTTAGAATAGAAGTTATTAAAATTTTTGTAAAACATTGAAAATTATCATTTTTTAAAAATGTCTAAATAAAATATTCATCAAATGACTTGAAAAATTATGTACAAACTCCAAGGATTAATTAAAAAAAAAAAAAATCAGTAACCTTATACATTATAGAAATTGTGAAGATTTTTCTGCCAAAATACAGGCGAAATTTTTTTAAAATTAATACTTGGAGTTTTGCACATCAATACAGGGTAATTTAATTTTCCCAAAATATTGAGAACCTTCTTGAATTTGCAATTGTTTTAAAGAATTGTTAATAACAATTTTAAAATTTCATTTTTTAACAATCCCTTTATTTTATCATTAAGGTATAGACTTTAAGCTTTAATTAAAAAAAATTACTTAATTATTACTTCCTCATAGAGGAAGTATTGTAATACCAAAATTTTTCGAATTCGATTTTTTGATATATCTTTATGTTATTTGACCTCAGGAGTTGCGGACATGAAGTGAGAGTACTTTGTGATAGATTAATAAAGTTTAACTAAATTTTTTTTGGATTTTTAATTTTCCAAAAACACGTTTTTTGCCCATAACTTTAAAAAAATGTTAGTATAAATGTTTTTCCATAATTTTGTAGAGTTTTTTTAAACGCATCTTTTGAGTCCTAATTGAACATTTTTCGTCCATATTAACTGGAGATATTAAACTTTTAAAAATCATAAATTTTAGAAAAAAATATTTTTTTTATAAATTTTGTTAAAAAATGTAGAAGTAATCTTAAAATTATCGTTACCAACTTGTAGAGCATTATTAAACGATTCGATTGACCTATTTTTGAACCTAATTCGATAATATATTTCGAAATTATTGGTATTTTAAAAACCAAAAATTGTGGAAAATGACATTTTCTCAACTTTTTTGTTTGAAAATTTTTGTTTAACTATTAAGGGGAGGCAACACCCCCAACATTGACCCCTTTAAATTATAATTATCAAAGAAGGTTATATTTTTTTTCTTGCACCATTTTTAACCCAAAAATATAAAGGATGGTCAAAAATTTGAAAATTCAATTTTTGAAGAGGTTAGAATTTTTATTTTTTAACTCGTTGCATATTTTTGCAAATCCATGCGAGAGGTTGTTTAAAACTATAAAATAAGCTTAGAAAAAAATTTTCGTTAAAAAATATTAAAAATTGTAAGAGAAGATCAATTTTGAATGTTCAAATTTTAATACTTTTGACATTTTTTCAAAGTTCTACACCAATAATATTTTTGAAAATATAAGTGTTTACAAAAATTTATTCACTGAATGCAAAAATCATATCGAATAACTCATTTACTAGGTTAAAATTTTAACAACTGTTAAGATTTTAACCTAGAAAATAAAACTAATTTAAACAGTTGTTAAAATTTTAACCTAATAAATGAGTTATTTGACATGATTTTTGCATTCAGTGAATAAATTTTTGTAAACACTTATATTTTCAAAAATATTATTGGTGTAAAACTTTAAAAAAATGTCAAAAGTATTAAAATTTGAACATTCAAAATTGATCTTCTCTTACAATTTTTAATATTTTTTAAAGAAAATTTTTTTCTAAGCTTAATATTTTATAATTTTAAACAACCTCTCGCATGGATTTGCAAAAATATTCAACGAGTTAAAAAATAAAAATTCTAACCTCTTCAAAAATTGAATTTTCAAATTTTTGACTATCCAATATATTTTTGGGTCAAAAATGGTGCAAGAAAAAGAATATAACCTTCTTTGATAATTATAATTTAAAGGGGTCAAAGTTGGGGGTGGTGCCTCCCCTTAAACTATTATAACTATATTGTAGAGTATTTAAAAATACATTGATTGACCCAAGATTCAATCACTTTTACCATATTTATAAAAAGTTATTCATATATTTTAATATTATTATTATTATCTCTATGAGGAAGCAAAGTGTTCATGAAATGAGCGCACCAAAATTATAAAAAATATAAGGTAAGTGACCCAGTCGCCGCACGGCTAAGGTTAACTCTTGATGTTTTGAACTTTTTAAAATATAAAATTAATTGTATGGTGGTAATAAATATATTATTTTAAAAGATAAGGTATTTAAGTTTCGAATGCAATGCTGTGAAACCATTTTTATCTATTTAATGCTGGAAAAACTTATTATAAAAGAGCAAAGTCATTTGGACCAGTGACTGAACGGAAAATTTAGTGTTGTCCCAGTCGTGCAGGCCCAGTTGCTAAACGAAATTTGACGACATTCAGGTTATAAATAATGTATTGAATTTTGACGGAATAAATTGAAAATAATATTGTGTTATTATCGATAATTTTTTTAATTATGAAATTAAATGTAAATAATTAATTATTATTAATCGTTACATAGATTTTTGGAAGGGTGGCCAATAAATTATAACTTTAAATTATATATATACTTACATCTTTACGTTTAGACAGGTTAATTTAATTTTCGAAACATCTGTCAAATTCACCGTGAAAAAGTGGGACATGAAAAAATAATAAACAAACCCAGTCGCTAAACGCTACGTTGAGGAACTAGTACACTTATTATTTTGACGTACCAGTTGATAAATTCTTAAGTTTATAATAAAATAGGGGGAAAAACGAATTATCATTTACAATATGCATTTTATATATAATCATAATGAGTATAAAACTATGGCGAACATTAATTTCAGTCAGGTAATAAATATTTTATTATTCGAAACTTAAGCAATGTCTAACGAAAAAAATAAAAAATGGTC